ATATGACCAATTATACAAAAGTAATGTGGAATATTCAAATCTTTAAAATGGACTATTTTCAAAGTAACCATCATTTTGCTGCAAAACGAAAAATTTCAGAAAAAAAGAGGTATTCGTAACATCCGAATACTTGAAATAAATTCGTATAAAAGAATTTTCAAATTTCAATATCATTACCCGATACCCATATTATTGAATTCTTGGCCAGGTATTGTTTAGATCAGAATAGAATGACAAGAGAGAAAATTCTTTTAAAGAAATTCCGTTGACAAAACAATTGGGATTCAATAGCCCGAGCAGAGGCTTGTTTAAGCGGCTCTGGATTAGCCAAGTGGTTACGACTGCAAATCGTCCATTGTGGGATCATTTTACTGATAAAATATCGAGGGCATTAATTTTCCGATGAATTTTTTTACATTTGCACTTAAGTGAGAAGTGAGCCAATAAGAAGCTTTAATGGTGTTGCCAGGTTTTAACCATCGGGAGGTTAACATCAAATAATAAGATATTAGATTTATCCGCCTTAGATTATTTATCTCCCAAATTAATATAAATATACCTTTACGTGAGCAAATATCATAAAGACTAATAAAAACTTTATTCCCATATAACAAGCGCCAGTCATGGGATTTCCGTAAATATTTGACGTGGCATTATTAAACGTTACTAGCGGTTATGATCGATTGTAACCCCATATGATTGTAAAATATGAAAACACTTCCTGTTCCGGTGAACGAGGTCATGCTATTACTCCAATTCGTCATTTCTATATCCGTTGTTTATTGGAATGTTTTTCGCAATATTCCGGGTTTTTTGAATATTTGAATTGTTTAGTTGTTTGTGGCGACACAATGCTCACGAGTTGTAAAATTTGAGCATTGTGATTGGCTAAAAACAATGACGTGTAGTGGACTTTGTCACGTAACAAACAACTTATTGAGATTTTGCCTGTTTAGGTAATACAAACAAGTTACTTACTCCACTCTGTGACTGGTGGAGCCGGTGGTCATACTCACTCACTATTTATTATTTATTAATGAATACACCAATCAGCAAATATTTTGAAGCAATATATAAAGGTTATTATGATTTATGTCTCCATCTAACCCCCGCATGTAAATCACATTGTCGTAAATATTTGTTTATGCCAGGAGTGGGCAATTACTATTCTTACTATGAATACAGCAGCTAGGCTAACGTTTATATGTTAACAAAAAGCACAAAGTAACACTCGGGTTCATTATGACGTGATTTTCATCGGTATTTTTAACGTAAATTTATATCCATAAAAACTATTGTCGTCATTCAGCAGACACAAATGGGCAGGATAAAATACTTCGGTGGACCGTATCCGACCCGCGAGCCGGAAATTGCCCATCTCTGGTTTATACCGTACCGTGTCTGTGTTGTATTGTGTCTGGTGGTGATCAGTGTTTTACGGCCCCGAATTAAGTTTACTCCTGTGATCTACTTTTTAATATTATCTACCACAAAAAAAGAGTCAAAATTCATTTTTGGGCGGGGGGGAATTATTTTCCTCATTTTTTTATTAACAAAAATCGTAATCTCATGAAGTAAAATTTATTTTTATACCAGTGATCTTTTGACAAAGTTAAAATTAAATAAAAAATCATTATTTTTTCAAATAATCTCAAAACGAGGTACCCAATTCAAAGTGAAAGAAGTACTGATATATATAAGGGTTACATGCGACCGTTGCAACTCTAAGAACTTATCTTCTAAAATTTAAAAAATTATAATGAATATAGTATGGTTGAATATTTAAATATGATAGCAGGTCGCAATTCCCGCACGTCGATCTTTGAACAGTTAATCAGGTTTAAATGTCACCTAGGTGTATTCATACGTCATGATTCATTTTGTCATTGTCGAATCAATTTTAAATCTTCCTCAGATTAATTAATTATCATACAAAGTAACCCTAGCAATCCCCGTTACATACAATATGTCTCTGATATCGAATGTTGAACACGTTTTTTGAGGTTAATGGTAATATTTTAAGTAACTTCTGCAATCCTCGTTAAATTCTGATTCAAATTAAATGTTTAAATTCAAATTTTCAACTATTTTTTTAATTTTCAATTTTTTCATACTCTGTCTGATTAAGGTTATAATTCTTGGTTATTCATGCAGATCTGTACTTTACTTTGTCTCTTTTATTTAATGTTGACCACGATTTTTGAGGTTAATGGTAATCTTATATTTAAATTGTTGCAGAATTAACCTGCTTGAGATAGTATGTAAATATTCTGCCATTAGTGAAATTTTGATTTATGTTCATTGTCGTGCAAGTGGTCTCCTGCAACTCTTCTATTGTTTACTACTTTCAGTCGATAATTTGGGACTTAGATTTGACCAATCTCGAATAAATCGACTCGTTAGTGTGATTATTTGGCGTTTTCTCACATATTTTCTACGTTTTCATAAATTTTGAATTTCATAAATTTTGTTGCAGTTATTCCACTCTTTTGGTTCATTTCATCGATTCCTAAAATTGTAACTAGCAAATTAGATAAATAAAACGTCCTGATTTCATTCTACATTTATATAAAAACAGTGATAAATACATTTCAATATGGGTTTTGTGAATGGACGATTACATTTTTTGTTTCGAAAGATTAGCATGTTACCTATTGTGACGAGGTGATTTATTGTTAAAATGTAATTATTTAATTTGAAAACTAATTTTCAGTTTTGCATGTAATTTTGCTTACCCCCCTTTCATTTCGTATCACATACTCCAAATCTATCAGAAGAACTTGCTTTACCTCATTTCTAATTAGTTCCTGCACCATCTACGTGAAACTATAAAGGTCATAAATGGCGCATTGTTATGTCACATACCAATAAAAAATTATTGCTGTCATGTGATCAAAGCTATCTAGTCTGGTCTTATCGCTTCTATATGGCAAATAAATGTCAAATTAATTAAAGTACAAATTTGTATCATACTCCAGATCCAGATATATTCAAAATTCGTTCTTTGAGAAACCCTGTGCAATTAAACCAAAGCAAAAAGGAATAAATCCATGAAACAGACATACAATATTTTAACTGCAATTGACGAGTGGCAACGAAAGACTAAGCTATAGTCGTTTATGAAAAATATATACATACATTCGCTCTGTCCAAGGCTCTGGACAATTCAATACCAATAATATTGCGTCATCTATTCTTGTTGACCAGACAGTATTTGGACAAATATAGAGTTTCAACAGCTAAGGTATTCGGTACAGAAATCTCGATATCGTTGCGATTCGATATCTTTATTGTTGATCTGTTTTATCGGCTATGGCTTAGCGAAGTGAATTCCTAAAATATTATTTGTTCAAACCTTTGGACATTTCTGTATTAAAATTGCACAAGTCAAAGCAACAAAACAAAACAAGCGGTTATGAACATCAAGAGGCCCTTCATTTATTACCCATATTCTTAAATCCGAAATAAAATCGACAGTCGGCATTAACTTAATAATTTACATACTATAATCTGAGTTTTTTATAATTTTGCATTCAAAGTCTGAAAAACGTAGACGCGATAAATGTCGCAACATTGCATCAATCTCTTTAGGGGGTATATGAGGTAATAATCGCACATATTAAAAACCAACATGTGATGTGTACAATACACGTGTATTACTGTAATATTTGTCGCTTTAATTACTGTTAAAAAGTAAAAAGTTTAAGCTGTATATTACTGTGATTAGATTAAGTAACGGGTGCCGAGCTGGACACGAATGTGTATGCTTTTCGTATAAATTAACTCGTGAATTGTTATCATTCAACTGTTTCAGTTTTGTCGTTATGTTTGCTAATCGTTGAAAAACAAAGGTGCCAACCTGTACCTATGCTATAGTTTACTCGATTAGGTTACATGAGGTCGGAGTGATTTCAAGATTGGGTTATCCGGGGTTGTTTCAACTCCAACATTCATTAAAAAATGAAGGTACCAACCGTTTGCCAGCAATGATCATTTGTCCTTGATTGAGGTGTGAAATGAACTGAGGTTAATTCAAGGTTGTTACGCCTTATTTCGTTGTTCGACCTTTGAACTTAAAATGACTTTTGACTTTTTATAAGTCATTAAAAAGACTGTTAATACCTCCAAAGTAATGCTATTGTACCTATCTAGAATTCTTCCATCGGTAAAAATAGAAAGTAAATTGACTGGGAAAATGCGATTAAAAATTATTATGTATTTGAAGCACTTCGTCAGTCGCTCCAATCAAAATCTCGTGGTCTCAACTCTCTCTTGGTCTATTTTAATCCCATTCCATAGCAATTATGCCTGTTCCATCCCATGGGATTCCCATTGGAATAAAATTCAATAAAAATTGTTAAATTTAGGTTTAGCGTCTACTAAATAGGACTACATGTACGAAGAGACATGCAAAACAAAAAAAATTTACGGACTTCGTTAACTTTATATTCATAAATATTATAAATGTGTTCATCAGCCTCTTCACAAAGTATATTGTTAATACTGAATGTATTTTGCTCTTTATAGCTAAGAAGATATATATGCTCAAATATATGGATAAGAAGTTCATAACGAAATGTTATGAACCACCATTTTCCCGAAAATCATACGGTTTTCGTGTCCCACGTGACCCATGGGAAATACAAATTTGTGCTGTCCCGTCCCATCCCATCCCCATGGACAATCCTGGTTGGTAATTACATATTGTGTGGGACTAGCCTTGATTTTATACGGACACCAACCACCGATATACCTACAGCATTCTGCAACCAGTCCCCATTTTTCAAAGTTGATCAGAGTGTGGACTTCAGATGAGAATGAATCAAAGCACAGGCGTTGTCGTTCCTACTCGTGCACGGACAAATTTCTTTCTTTCTAACTTTTGCGAGTATTGACATATTTGTTGCAGACATACAAGATGTATATATTGGATGAACATAACACAAAATATAGAGCAAATAATATACAATTTTCATATAAAAGATATCTTTTTTTTTCAGGACGTGTTGGATTCGAAGAACAGCGCTATCAAGGATCTTCAATACGAATTGGCAAGAGTATGCAAGGTATGACGTACTTTCAAATGTTCTTATTTACACAACGTCGGCCAAAGATTAACCTTGTATATTGGTGACAAGAGGTTTTAATCCCCAGCAATGATTTTTATTTTCTTGCGTTTCCATTTGTCATTCTTGGAAATAGATCAACCGAGCGGCGAAAATCAAGCCTCTGTTCAAATATTTCAGGATCTTTTCTGGTGCTCCCGTACACAGGATGGCGCACATCCTGAACATAGTATGTACCAGGTTAAGGTTGGGTTGATCAGGTTGTGCGCCATCTTGGTGCACATACTATGGGTGTGCCTCTTTTCTTAGGGCTTGTTGTCTGGATTGTCCTCGAACTGTTTTAATTGATTAACTTATTTTCTTGTCAGGCTCACAACGACCTTCTTCGTACCTACGAATCGAAACTCATCTCATTCGGTGTTCCCATTGACGAACTTGGCTTCAAACCACTAGAGAGCACTATCGGGGGCCAAGAACTTGGCAAAGGACCTGCTGGACTTGTCGCTGCCCCAACGTAACACACTTATAAAATATCTCAGTCAATTTTTTTTAAAAACTCCACGTTTTTACGTCACTGACACTTTTTATTTGAATTTTGTAACATTGTTTACATGTAAGCATATAGATAAGGAATTTTTGCAAAACTAATATATTTTTATTGTGCTTTATAAAGTTTTGTAATATATGTGATAAAATACACTGTTTTTATGATATTATATGAGATGTAAGCCAAATTTTAGGGCAAATTTATGAATCAGTAAATTTGCATTTTACATGTAATCGTTCCAGGAATTTCGTTGAATATGTGGCATTTTCATCCCAGCATATCACTGTATTTATAATTCAATAGCCTATTTCATCTAGTATTTTTAGCGATATTGTCGAGAAAATTGTACTGAAATAAAAGGATTTTATAACTATGATTTTGTGTATTGCACACGTATATATGAAAATTTATTAAAGTCTTCGAAATAAACACACCCTACCCGTGGTGTAGTAGATAGTAGAAGTATTCGATTTGAACGCCTAACTGATTTCTATGTGTTTAAAAATACGGTTGAACAGTCGATTAAAATAAGATTTTCAACCAGCTGGGGAATATCGTACAAGCTGTGTCTTATCGTTGGTCTTGTGTTGTAGGTAGTAGACAAGGTGATATACGTCAGGGCTACCCAAACTATCAAGCTCGCGGCCGCCTTTAAATTTTCACGTCCCCTGTTAATCGTTACGCAAGCGCGCCGATTCTCTGGTGCCAGGCATTCTCACGAAATCTTGAGATTTAAGATTTGCACTAGTTTTAAGAATTGTGTTCAGGAGTCTAGAAAAGTGCAATAGAAATAGTACTTTGTGTGAAATTGGTGCACGCTTTACGATTACTAAAATTTGTTACGCGCCCACTACGGGGGTCGTTTCCCCCAGTTTGTGAATCACTGGTATAGGTTACGTTTGTCTGCGTAGACTGCAAAACCTAAATGTCTGTCTACTTGCCTTGTTCGGGTGCTAATGTTAATACAAATAAAACGACTCTGGGTTAGGAAATAAGTTTGGCTCCCCGGAAATCAAATTTCGACAACAAACATATTGACTATGCAAGCCTTTCGTAATAAGTTGTTGAGAATGCTCAAGTGCGAGACTTCTGCCGGATTTTTGATTAATGAGCAACCAGTTTATTACCCCGTGAATAAATTATAAAGTTTGCAACAGTCAGGAAGCATTGAAATTAATTCTTCTTCGTGGAACGGGGCATCTCAATTAAGAAGTACGGTATATACACATCACATTCGACTAAAATGTTAAATCCCAGTAGGTAACGTTTAGTGCTGTATGTACAAAAAATTGTGAGGATGTTTTTACATGCTGTAAACTATCCTTTCACGTTCCGAAGCATGTTGAACAAAGAATCACCGTAGTTGGTTTTATAAATCCGAAAAACAACGAAATCGTCCACGAGCGCAATATTTCTACCGGACACGCGTTCCTGGTTTTGAATGTATAAGCCGAGAGTGGACAAAGAAATTGCCTCAGCTTTAATCGAAAGAAGCGATGCCCATTCATTACCGGCTTTTGTTGTGGATTTAGCAGCTATAAATAAATATATTATGCCCATACGAACGTATAGAAAATATGTTCAAAAATCGTAAAGCCAGCGCTAGTCGTTTAGACTTTGCTGTTTTATATCAATCGACAAAATTTGGACTTAATCCAGACAGTCCCCGAACTCGTAATATAACTAAAATATGGAGAATCGGAATAAAATTATGGCTCAACGCTAACCTGGTACACACACGACGAGAGTACCCAAAATTCTTTACTTACTTTAGTCCTTTGCTGCCCGAGGTGCTAATGCTTTTATAAAATTCAAATTATTGCTTTTCAAATTAAATGTGATCTTTGTCGATGCTTATTAAAGATAATGCACCTTGTAATAAATTTTAATCACCGGTGGATAGAGAAAGCGTCATTTCTGCATTTATACTCGGATAATTTGTGTTTGTCGCGAAATATCAATGAATTTCCTACAATTTTATTACTTATCTGTCCGCGTAGACATAAAATGTTAATTCAAGGCTGAGAAATATGTACAATTGTCGATATCGACTATCCAGTCGATTATTTGCACAAAAACAAGCTCGCGTATTGCTTTGACTAAATGTCCTTATATTACAAAATTCCCCCTTGTCGTTATTTCAATGTCAATAAAATTCATTTCTATTGCTCGGCGATTTAGATTACAAAAAAGTAAAAAAGCATGTAAGCTTTAAAAGTGTGCGATTATAACAAGTTTTGATCCTCACCTTCGTTGCCGTAGTAGTGAACCCGCGAAGTTCATTAGTGGCAAATTAATTAATATGTCGCGGTGGGTTATAATTGGATTTCAAAGTCAGACTACGTTGGTACCAGCAGACATTGACGGCAGCTGTGGTGAGTTGTGGGAACTTCAACGAAGTCGACTGTCAAGTGTTATTTAGCTCTCGCTTTGTTGTATCGAAGGTAACGTTATGTGCATATTTCGAAACTGATGATGCGTATGGATTTAGAATAGGATTCACATATTCATTCCGGGGGAGAGAAAAGCCGATAATACGACTTAATCATTTGGTGAACCAAGGCCTCTCGCCCGGTTACCTGTTCATGTCGGGTATGGGATTAGTTTGCCAGTAATTTGTTCTAAGATGTGTGTACTTGGTGGAGAAGGAGGCCACGGTAGCGAGTGTGTTCCTAACGCTTGGCACGATGCTCCACATCGCCTATAGCCAAAATAACCACCGAACTAACGAGCAAGAAATTGTCTCTCATTACAACAATATTAGGCTAGAGATAAAATGCAATTGATTATCAGCATAATATGCACAAAAAACACTCGAGCGCAAGTATATTTAATACTTAGAAAGACAGATTTGCCATACTTATATTTTCATAAGAACTGTCATTTCCACAGCCTGATAACCTTGGGTTCAAGTATTTATTTGTCTTCGATCGTTGGACGTGTTCACGGTAAATGATTAGTGAATGTGAATCGATACTGGTATGACACGAACTCCAGCAAACTGCAAAAATCAATCAAAATTCATTGATGGATTTGTTTACTACACTCTATGCCTGGAGGCGTGTACTATCAAAAACTTTGACATAAAAAGTTTGATTTTGAAGTAATGGAAACTTGTGTCTCGGAAGTAGCATACACCAATATGTGACATGTGGGTGATATAGCTGAGCATTTTAAACAGTAATTTGAGTTATTACACGTAAGGAAACGTGTTTTCTAATTGTTTGTGTTTCATGTGTAACGCTATACTACAGATTTGACAACGTGAAGACCTCGCATTTGCGCTTTTCACTGCCGAATAGCCAAAGGCGCGATCCGTTAGGGACCGTTCAGAAAAATAGAGAATGAATGGTCAAGAATGTTATGCAGAAGTTCGTTACAGTAGAATAGGAATGGGATGATAGTGGTTTATAATGCTTTATAAGTTAGATGTAGGAATTATTACAGGCCAGCGCAACCTATGCGGCCACAGTGGGCCCGCACTTACATTGGAGGCCCCACGCTAATTTTAGAGGAAGAATAGTAAATTTAACAAATATCAATTATATATCGAATGCTTTAGCCCCGTACTAGGCTCACAAAGTGAGTCACTGTAATCGTGTTTTTGTACCTATAAAATATAAAGACGAAATAATTTTTCATTTATTATTGCTAGCCAGAGTAGGTCCGGCGCACTTCATTCCGCACACGGCCTCGCAATAGATAATGTCGGTCATGGATTGTTGTATGGTCCCAAACGCCATTCGAATGGCCTCATCCGTAGAAGCCACTTTGGGCTTCCATATTTGACATAATGTCCACGGATGACGAACGAATATTATTCTGTTTTTGCTGCTCAATGACTTAGGTTAGAAGAATAATGTTTCCCCCGAAAAATACGTTATGACTATCAGAAGAAAACGAATAATTAAATTATCTGATTCCCGCTCCGTGTACCCCGTTACCAGAAAGATCTAGTGCTTGTTACGTTATTCCTACTGATACCAAATATCGATGACTACATTCAAAGGAGAAGTAGTACTGTAGGAAGTGGGGTGTATTATTAAGTGTGAGAATTAGTAGAAAAAAGGGAATAGACAAAGGGAAAGAACATAGAGTCCAATATAAAAAATCCTAGTACACGGCAATACATTTTGATTGACGAAATGATAAATCGCTCTTTCAGTATTATTATGAATACTAATTTTCACCAAGGTCGTTTAAATTTGAAGTTAGGTATTTTAATACTAAATGAAATTGTCTAATTTGTTTTGACACTTTTTTCCAAAATTTCATGATCGTGCAGTTTTTGAAGTTCAGAAATCCGCAAATTGGATTAAATCACCAACGTAGATTACAAAATACGATTTCGCTAATTGCCAAATCCCCCGAAGCGAAAAAGTACTTCAAAGTTACGACGACGACGAAATTACCAGCTGATCGCTGTAAAGGGGATCACGGCAAAGTAACAAATTTAACAGTGCGTTGTCTAGCACCATAATCGACCAAGCGTGGATCGCAGTAACAGGGCGCGATTTATCACTCTCTCACATTCGGAATGAGATAATACATAACCTCTCGATTTCTGAATGAGGGAGATCGTTGTTTGTGATGAAACAAAGAAAATCATTGAAGCATGTACTGACGCATTTGTTTCGACAGTGTGAAATCTGCAAAATTGTTTTTCTGCTTTTTTGTTGTTAACGAACTGTCGTTTGGAGCAGACATGCTGCTGTCGCTGTCATATATATATATGAGGATATTTTGGAGTTTGGGAATGCTAGAAATATTTGTGGTAGAATTTCTAATATATAACATATGCGGATTCAATATTTCCAAAAGTAGACACAAGGCAAGAGTTCCACGTTCATAATATGAGAGGAAATATATTATTTCGACATAGTGATATGACGAGCCATACTACCTCTTGCTCGGTACCGGTAACGGGTTCAGATCGTTTGACCAGTTAATTGAAGAACGTTCAAGAATATGGATTTTGTGGGTCAGCGTGTTTAACGAAATTGCAAAATTTTTCAAACGCTTTTGAGTTTTGCATAATATTATGAACATGAAACTTTTCGCAAATAACAATATATTTCTGTGGTCTGTGACGTCACTCTCAGCACATCGTGGAACGAACAAAATATTTACAACGCGAGTGAGTATGTGGCTTTGTTGTGTTACGAAGCATTTTATTTTGTTTGACAAGCGGTAAATATTTTCTATTTGTGCGCGGCCAACTAAAGGCGGTAGTGCCACAGAGGCCCTGTTTGGAATTTATAGTTTAATTATACATTTAGTGCAAGGTGACCATAAAGTCCCCTTGCAATTTCAATTCTGTTTTGAAGTCAGTTTTCAATATACCTTAACCAGGTTTGTTGGTTTTTAATCAGTAATTGTTCAGGTATATATACTTTATTCATTACATTTGTGGTGGCATATGATATCGATAAATTCCCTTTGCAATTTTAAAATATTATTTCAGACTTTATGGACCCTACATATTGGTGTATGGCAATCTGTTAGTCTACGATTGTCATTACATGTTCTGAATGTTCATCTGGGTTACCAGTCGCATGTTCGCCTGTTTCTGGGACCTAATATGCTTTTATATTACGGTAAATGTAAATGTAAAAGACCTACGGTACTGATACTGAGAAAAATAGAGATTCATCCACTTATGCCCAGTAAAGGCAATTGATTGAAATATATTATTTATTAAACCTTGCTTGCGTTCCCTCGTTGAGTTATTAAAATTGAACCTTCATAGGTTGTGATTTGTCGAGATAAGATCGAATAGAATTTCCTGTTTATCTTTTAATGTAGATGAAAGTTGCAGTAGCACTTTCTGGTGTAATTTTTCATAAAGAAGAAAAATAAAACGCGATGGCTAGCCTACATGTTTCAATAAATACACTAAGAACAAGTTTTTCCAATACACCGAAATAAATTTATTTGAAAACAACAGCACCCATTAATTGTGCTCAGTGTTTGTTTACGCTTAAATAATGTTTTTATTTCGTACCAGAGTTGATTAAATTATCCGAAAGGAAAGAAGATTTATTTCAACCCATTTTCACACATATACCTGTGATATAAGGCCAATTTTAAATTGTGTTTCCCCAATACGAAGACCGCCCACCGACCAACCATGTAATTTATTAATAATCATTTTCGTCTCCTCAATGTACTTGTGTGTTAGAATATTTCGTTGTAAAATCATCTATTCAATGCAAAAATATAATAAAATTGAACTTCCGCAATGAAGTCCAATAGAGGGTGTTTTCTATAAAAACATATCCTCGTCGATTGAGTAATTTAAATATTGCTTCGTGCAAATTGATTATTTACAAGTCGAAATCAATGTCCCATTGCGCCGCAACACAAGTTTGACATGTTTTTACTCGTTTTAAATTTCCGTAACTAACAGTTGGTTGGGGTTACGTGAATCTAACTACCTTTCCTTGCCCTATATGCCTTTGCGCAGGTGGATCCGTATGCGTATATCGCAAGTATGCTATAGCAAGAGTAAAAATGACTATTCTGTTTAAGAGTCTTGCTGCACACTTACACAAATATATTTCTGTAACGTTTCGTCTGACCATGGTCAGACTTCTTCAGACGAGCATTTTACAGTTATGGCAAGAAACGCAATTGCATGCACATAAATAATGGTATCAAAATTGGGTTAGAGATAAATAACTAAGATTGGAACAGTGCCAGAACTCTAAAACCGAAATTTTGATACCATTATTTATGTGCATGCAATTGCGTTTCTTGTCAAGTTGTAAAATGCTTGTCTGAAGAAGTCTGACCTTGGTCAGACGAAAAGTTTCAGAAATATATTTGTGTAAGTGTGCATCAAGACTCTTGAATTAAATAGAATTTAAATTTCCGATTTAGAGAAAATTGATTTGTTGTTTATTAGATGGTTAATCGACGAAAGCCAAGTTGACGAGGTGCAAACGTGTTTCGTGGGCGGAATCAAGAACAAAATTTCGAGTAAATATGTTCGCCGTATCAGTATTAGTGTCTTATATTTCTTGTATAATCGATTTTAATCGAGATCAAGCTTTTTACGGTACGTTTTCGCACATAAGTGTGTTTTTTATTGCCTCATTATTTTGTTATATTTCATGCTTGACCACCGTCATACGAATATTGCAATGATGGAATATCCCTGTCAATCATTTTTAGTACTATCATTTAAATTTCACATATTTTTGCCCAAACACGAATATCAAGAATTAAAAAAAAAATGATTGAAGAAAAATTTGAAGGAAGATTTTCGTGTACATTAGCCTTCCATCGCATCATACATACCGATACTAGAAACTTAGTGCAAAATTGCAGTGTACGCTTATAAATAATGCGCAATATATGAGTACTGGATGAATGTTTATTGGAATACCTATGTGCCTTATACTATTATTTCATCATTATATACAATTAAACTGTAGTGAAACATGGACCATATGCAACTATCCGTATTGCATTGATGTGTGATGAACAATTTAGGTCAGGTATATCGTCACTTCCGGGATTATTGTCCATTCATCGTGTTTAATCGATGATTATTGAGTTGAGAGGCTACGGTTGGCCATTCGGCAGAGAATATTATTTTATGCAAACATTTTCTGACTTTAGGTTAAATGGGACTCTAAAAAGATTATACAAATAACCAATTTTCATCACCAAACCTTTTCAAAGAGTACATCGAAAGAAAATCTTACCTGATAATTGTGTGAGCAAAATAAATCGAGTGGAAAACCGCTAATAAAGCAGCGTCTTTGCGGAACTGACGATTTGTACCATAGAGTAGCCTATCACTATTCCAAACGGGTTTTGCACGAACTCGCTTCCCCTAAAATAACGCCGAAAACTGGAATGGCGCAATCGTTTATATTGCTTTAATAACTTTTGATGGCATGTAATTGCCGGCATAACAAATTTGTTCGCTATATTGCCTGCAAATTTGGGTGTCGCATTTCAAACTTAACGCAGAAACCCGTTCTAAACAAATTTGATTTTGGTTGCATGTTATGAAGAAAGTATGATAAAAAAATTTATTATTTTGGCGTGTGGTTAAGAATACTGGTGTTCAGGGCAAGCGATTTGGTTGAATTTGAAGCTCAAAAAAAATGCTTAAACTCAATTTAGTTTCGAATTCATAATTTGACGCATTATTGAATGTAAATTTACCGAATAATGTTCACAAATTGCTTTCATAAACAAATTTCGATTTTGCTCACAATTGCGTTACTGTTTAATACAGAGTTTTTGGTCGCCATTTTGCGGTACTTCAGATCTAGCAAACAGCAGGTATCGCCATGTTTATTTAATATTAAAGAATTAATAAAAACGTCGAAATGACGACGGAATATACAGGTTTAAATATTAACAACGCGAAGGTTGCTTTCATACACTGAATCCTTGTAACCCAAACGAGAGAGGTTACTATCGTTCACAAAATTGGTAACCCTCGGTCATATCGATAAATTTCGCAAGTAATGTTACGTCACAGTACACGATTGACCAATCACAATGCGAGAATATTTCACAGCCAAACAAAACCAGCTGACGCTCCGCGATTCGGCAGATGAAAATGTTTCCCTCGGAAGGTCGGTGGCGGTCATCCCTCGCTCTTCGGTTAGTGATCGTTACTTGAAAAAAGTATCAAAAAGTGCGTTTTAAGCTGTAATATTACTAGCTAAGCATAAATGGATAGTAATGTTGAAATAAAGACTATTCTGTAAAACTGTGGGCTGGTAAGCGTGTCAAATTACCAATTTCCTGTGACCGCGTCGGTTCAGCGCTGCAGCAAGTCAGTCGCGAGGTCTTTTGTTGCAACATGTGCGCGAAATTTGGCAACGGTCTAAGATAAATACACCTTGAATAAAGGGTTGAAATATTTGTGGTATTGTAACTTAGACAGACAAAAGGATGAAGGAATATCATTAAATATAGTATACCAGAATAGAGTGACGTGAAACAGTGAAAGGTAGCCTACCGTATGAATGCGAATTTGCGATTTTCTGTAGTTAAATGCGAGGGAATTGTCAAGAAAGTATGTAGGTAATGTAGCGACTTCATTGTCACTATATTAGTTACAAATATTATATTAAGTCAATTCAACACTGATTATTTTTCAGACAAAACTTACTTATTAAAGAATTTTTATCGAAAAAAACTTGCACAAGCGGTGCAAACATGAGTCTTCAATTAGATTTATACAATTGGCAATCTGGTCAGATACTGTGCTATGTGTCAAAACCTGACACTCGACCTGTTGTTCTGGAAGTTGATGTTGACAGACATGCAATTGGACAAGATATTTTAGAGAAGGTACGGTACTTGATTATTTTGTAACTAACTTTTGAATTAAACTTGATTATACCAATAGAAAAAAAGGGGTCTCGCGAAGTAAATGCCGTGACTGCTTGAATAACGCTGAACACAAATGTGATATTGAATGCTTTGAGTGCTTAAGTAACGCTAAACAAAAATGGAAATTGAAAATACAACCCAATTTTTTTTAAAATAAAAAATCGTCTCTCGCAAACACAATATCCCTGCTCAGTTGAAAATTGAGTAGGTTTGATTTGAACTAAACGTGTGTTTCAAGAGTTTCTTTCTGTGTCATACAGCCTTTTTTTAGTTACATTAATATTTCATAAATTATCATATTTACCTAGATATAATAAAGTGTAGAACTTCAGAAGCAGAATCTTTCAAATGTTTTCTCCAATTTTTGCTTTCTTTGAAATCTAGTATTTGAAAATTTGGAATTTTTATACCCAATTATTGCCAAAATAGTAGTATTTTATACTATATTATTATTAATATAGTATTAGTATAATATAATATAGTATGGTAATATTTTATTAGTAGCCTACTTCTATTTGAATAATTTGTTTGGCCTAAAAGTACAAAATGGCAACTCATTAAAAAGATGGAGAATTTTATATTAAGTTCATAAAAACATTTGATTCTAAAAGGAAAAGATGACTGTAATCTTCTGTAATAAGCAAGATATTGACAGTCATTTTTTTTATTACTTCTCTTTGATTTTTTTGCTTTTGAATTTTAATCCCATATGATGAACAGCAAGCACTCTTGTAATAAATTATGCATATTAATTTCAAAGGTCTGCGATTTGATCGGCACCGTCGAAAAAGATTACTTTGGTCTTCAAGTATGTCCAGTCAAGCGTGAACCTTTCTGGATGAATCTCCGCAATAGGGTCATAGGTCAAATATCTGGTCAACCACCATATCGACTAAGATTGCGAGTGAAATACTACATTCAACCTCATCAGTTACTGCAGGAATCTACCAGGTTTGTGGATTTTTTTTGTTTTATATCAATTTATCAAGTATTCGACACCAAACCAAAATTACGATTTTGTCCTCTTTTCTCTGTTGGTTCTAGTTTTCAAGTGACAAATTTATTTCCATCAATTTATCAAATGATTAATTGGCAGAGCATAGTTGTTCAAAACATCCAATTACGGTATTCAAATGCATTTCTTCATATTGAATATTTTGAATTATTATTTCCTTTGGAACATATCACTCACAGCTGTTTTAAACATACTGTTATTTGGTTCATTCATTTTCCTAAACATGATTCAATATAAAAATCAACTAAAAAAGTTTTGTGGAATGCCAAACATGCTAATATTCAAAAGTTAAAAAGTAACCATTAGTGTAAATGTTTTTATATCATATCTTACATGAATTTATAAAAGGATTCAGGATTCCAAATACACTAATGCGAACTATCTAATTCTATACACAAATTTATAAAATTCGTCAACTAATGAAAAAAATGAAACTATTTCAGACAAATCTTCTATTATCAACTTCGCCAAGACGTCATAGACGGAAAGTTAACAGTTCCGCAAAACAAAATTCCTCAGCTTGCTGCGTATCTTGCACAAGTTGAACATGGGGATTGTTCTACCATGGATTCGACGAATATCTATAAAAGTTTAAAGTTCGGGGACAAAGTTTTGACAGATGAAGATATTACTGGGTTAGTATCTAGCAGATTTGAAGACGCTATATTTCCTGCTATGTTAAATCGATTGAACCCTAGCTAAGATGGTAATCATTGAAAAAACATTATGATTGGTGTATTATTCACAGATTAGAATAATACAAATGTACCTAAAAAATATTGTTGAATTTCATAACATAATTTGTGTTTGCCCTTTTTTAACAATTTTGGTTAATTTTGCTATGAAATTGGTAGTTAAGTAAAGAAATATTTATTTTTCAGAATTGCTGATTTTCACAAATCATTAGAAGGACAAACACAATCTCGAGCCATGTACTTTTTCTTGAAAGAGGCAGCAGATTTGCCAAGTTATGGGACAGAGGTTTTCAATGGTAAAATTGAAGTACCGCACTCCCACCCTCATATGCCAAATCTCTCTCCTGCAGACACAACCAATGTTTTGATGAGAATTGGCCCATTTGGTCTTGAAATTGTAGAAGAAAAATCGGAAGAAATTAGAAGGTGAGAAAATTTTTTGAATTTATACCGTTAGAAAACGATGATTTGAAAGGATGAATTGGAAACTTGCCATAATGAAATGAATTTTTATAAATCATTGAATATCTTCTTATTCCGGTACTCAATATATACATTCATTGGATTTTTTTTTTGAGTCAGTGATTATTTATTCCTATTTTCTACAAATGCATATATATGTGTGGAAGGTATAAAAATCAGGAACCCATAACCAATAAGGACTTATCATTCGCAGATTTTGTTAGTCATCCATGAATAGTTTAATTAATCATGGTTGTCCTTGAAACTGAATTTAACTTATGATTTCTCTGACCTGCCTGTTCACTGTTTCCTCTAATTTAACAAAGCTGGTGAAACATATGTATATGATACGAAAAAGACACACAGCACGAGTGAAGATAACTATCCTAAGTGATAAAGAGTCTATCACAAAGCACACTAACACAAATTTATTTCTGTAACGTTTCATTGACCAAAGTCAGACATCCTCGGATATATATATAATTCGATAATTGAATTATATATTTGTGTTGGTGAGCAAGTATCTTAAAACCTTTTCATAAGATTCTTGAGTTAGCGATGCGATACCATCAAAAACCATTTACTGAATTTAATCTTTGATTTCTCAGGTCTCGTTAACTCTAATTTAACAAAGTTTTATATATTATACTTTTCCTTTGGAATTCTTTGTAATTGAATTCCTCATAAAAACTTGGAATTAACTTATCAATCATTACTTTTAGTTCAACAAAGTTTTAAATTCCCTACTTTTCTTTAGAATACCATTCACTGCCGTTCAGCTTGCAACGCACACAGGGAAAATGATTGACATTGACACAGTTCTGGACGATGGATCTACAAGTACTCTGACTTTTCGAATGAGCTCAGAAAAATCAAGTAACGCTTTATATAGGTAAGAAGAGGGACTAATGACAGTAGAAATGTTGGTATTCCCATAGTGTGTGCACCAGGTTATGCCATAGTTTTATTTCGATTTTCCTTATTTTAGTTCTAACAGGAGTTTGTGGGCTGTTTGTGTTAACCAAGTGAATATACCCCCTACCATACACTTCCGTCCCTTTACACAACTTGATGTAAAGTAGGCGAACAAAATTAGTTACCTCCATATCGTTACACATTCTTCTGGAGCGCTGAAATATTTATAACAATTCAAAGGTAAAATTCCAGTCAAGCTATTGTTCTATATTTAGTATAATACTAAACAAGAAGATTCTATGATTGAGTAAAACCATGATGAATAGCAAAGTTTCCTAAATTGTCTATTCAAAAAACAAAGATATCTTCTCATTTTGTTGAATATTGAAAAAACCGCTCGCCTTAATTCTCCCAATTTTAAATTGCATCTAATGCAAGACCTTTCCACAGGGATTTATTAGTTCGGTTATTTTTATTTTAATGGCTGTCCAACCAATGTCAAGCAAAAACTCTGAATAGTATATATGAGATGGATAAATTTATGGCGAAATGAAAAAAATTTACTTTGCACTAATTAAAGGCAATTTGTCGCAAAATTACTTCCCATTATGAATAGTTTATTGACCTTCTGAAGTTAGCATTTAAAATGCCACATTTTGTTAAACCAATATTCCTAAAATAATCAATATCACTCTTCCTTATGCACAACTGTCATATGTAAGGTATTGAACACACAATGGCGGCGTGTTTATTTTCTGTCTATATATGACAGTGTTCAAATTAATATTTAACTCTTTAAACTTGATGGTTTTGTGGTTCAATTGAGTATGCTCATGTGAATGTGTATTATACTCTTCAAAATGTCTGAAGTAGAATGATGTCATATTGTTACTCCACTTTGAAGGTTGTGATGTGTAAGTGTTACTCAGCAGTTGTTTTTGAATCATTTAATTTATTCGAAATATCAAACGAGTATCATGAAAATATTATTGACTTTTGTATTAGTTTAGCTATATTTTTGCTATGTACCAGATTTTTTAAAACAAATTTAGAAAAATTGTAATTAACTTGAATAAACTTCAACCGAGGCAAACTTAAAATAAATTCAAGCCACAGAATTATTATTGGGCAGAAACACTTGATGTTATTTTATTAAATTTTTGCAAAATTTTAATCAACCAACTATGGCAAACTCATATAATAAACTATTCGGCATAAAGACTTGATAATTTATATCTGGATTTTTACTTTAGGTGCATCACCGAAATGCTTGCATTTTTCACCTGGGAGACTGTACATTCATCCGTAATGCATCAGTATAGCCGCGATTTCAAAGGCCATTTGCTGGCTCTGTTCCGACCAGATGTAGCTGATCAAGGTAGATTTTGTTTTTGTGCTCTGTAGGTCTAAATTTGAATGTGGTTTTTATGCTATGAATTTTATAAAAGGAGCAATAGTGGAATTTACTTTTCGGGTACATTCTCTTATATCTTATATCTTTCAAAGTAATTAGAGGTGCTTTCTAACATTCTATTATGACAGTGGTTCTCAAACTTTTTAAGCTGCGACCACTTTCAGAATTTTTCAAGTTGCGCACCGGCAGCGCCCCACCTCAAAAATAACTAGCTAACATAGCAATAAGCTACAAATAACAGATAGTAAAGCGAAAAAATGTTTTATTCAAAAAACACATTGAAGATACGTGGATGGAACGTAAATATATAAAATAAGCGATCAAATTAGCAAATATTTTTATTTTCAATTTTAATTAGCTTAACCCCCCACTCAAATGATTGACTATGCCTATCCCAGTGGGCCGCGCCCGCTGTTTGAGTACCGCTGTATCATGTGGATATACCGATAATTAAGGGTAATTGAAGGCTGTTAGCATATGTGGATTATATTATTTTGACCTCTTGGTAATCAATCTGAATTGCGGAAAGGTTAGTCAATCAGATCGGAGCTTACCAGATGCTTATTGAATAGATTTCTGGTTATCACAAAAAATTCCGAGGGTTAATCCACAGATCTAGAATTAGTCCTGGTCATAAATTTGAATTTGCATCAAATTTACTGCAGCACTGGTTTGGTTTGCTGGCTGTGAAGCCAATTCGGTCTGTTTTGTTTGAAGTTTTATTTTACTATTATTTAAAAGAATTAAATTCCATTTAAAAAAAAGAGTTTGCTACGCTTCGCCTGTATTCTCAAAGTACAAGTATTCCAAAATACTCAATAACTTAACTGTCGTTCATCTCTTCAGGAAAGCAATATGTATTTGACGTCCAACGAACTTGGCGAGAAGCTTATGATTTGGCGAGACGAACTCTACACAAACAAAACTTACGAATCAGTGGTTCGATTTCTGAAAACTCTTTATCATCACATAGTGTTAAAAAGCACAAAATAAATCAAGCGGAACAAAATAACGAAGTCGAACTTTTACGCGAAAGACTGTCAGCGATCCATGACGCTTTAACATGCAGGATATGCATGGACAATGAAATAAATACTGTGTTTTGGTCATGTGGTCACCAAGTTTGCTGCAACGACTGTGCAAACCAATGCCAGGTATGTTTGTTTCTTATTGTTTAAACCAGGGATGTGCAAACTGCGGCTCGCTGGCCAAATGTGACCTACAAGGAAAAATTATGCGCCCCGTGGAAGATGTGCCAATTTTGAATTATGTGCCCGTGAAAAGAGTTTATGGTTTAGTTAATGTGTTAATTTCATTTAATTTGTATCTGGCCCTCTTCTTAAGTTTGTACAACTCTTGATTACTACTGACAATAGAATAGCTGTTTAATAATTGTCTAGTCTGCAACTTATTCAACAATTAGTCAGGGGATTTGTTGTAATCGAATGTTTATAATGTATAATATATTTATATAAGCAAACATTACCAACTTGTGATGTGTATATAATTCATATTGCAGTATTTCATCAGTCAGACCACATATAAATTATCATTTTCAGTGACTCTAAATTAGAATTCTTTGAGGTGGAAATCCACCATTTTTCTTGATTCATCCCAATAATGTTATTTAAATTATTTTACATCCAAGTCGCTGTCTGACTGTTTTTACGACTGCTATTCATCGTCTTTTAATGTTAAGGGAATGATATATCTTCCATAATATTATTTATCATATATTTATGATACGTTAGTAATAGTGAAGTTTAGTTTTTCTGGGTTTTTTTCATACCCTAATCAAATTTCTTTCATTTACAGACTTGCCCTATTTGTCGACAAGAAATAACAAAAACTCAAGTCGTTTTTCCGACTGTTACAAGAGACTTTGTCGCCACCGGAAATATGGACTCTGGCGCTAGTGGTGGCTGCTCTCCAATGAGTATTTCACCTCGCTCACAATCTCCAACACACGGCATAAGATCAACATCTTTAACAATCGCAAATTCAGAACAGACACTAGTGGCATCAGAGAGCTAATTTTCATGCTCGTTTGAGGGACAGATTCAGAATTAAATCAAAATATAAGAACATGAATATGATAAACCTGCCCTAAATAACTTTTCAACAGAACTAAAATTTATCTTGCGAAAAAGCAGAAGGAACGAATATAGGTCGTTCTGAATCCTTTCAGAAACTTTCAAAGATGTTAACGCTTACGTTTTTTATTTCTTAAGCCGCTGGACGTATTTTTTAATACTGTAGTATAATTTCGTTTCTATTTCATTTATTTTTTTGGTGTCGTGTTTTTATAAGTCCTGTGTAATTTTAGATTAATTTTTTTATTTCTTCCGAAGCGAAAATAGTTTACTTCACACAGTTTTGGCATGGGCTCACGGTAATTCGTCGTTTTAACAATGGCCCTTAAATAAAAAGCTACAACTGTTTATAATTTTCTTTTATTCTCGGCTTGAGGTGTCTTTCATTTCATTATGACAATTTATGTTTATGATGTCATAGATTTATTGTGTTAGATGTCATGATAGTTTTGTGACATGACGAATAGAACTTGAAACCCAATTGTGGCATCATAATAGCAATCTGACATAGTGCCTCAGCTATCTTTCTCTTAATTATGCTACTTGCCAATTCTTTATGCTGGTGTATCTTTTTTCTATTAGATCAGCTTGGTCATAAAATATCTCCTCAATTTTTATTGCCTGTGCTTGAATTAAGTGTTATCTAATTAGCAAAATAGCTGGGCTTTGTTTTATTAATCTCTTGCCTATGGGTGCAATTTTTTTTTCAATCGATAGGATTTAATTCCAATTCTGGAGTGGGATTAGCTTTCAGTTATTTAAATTTAAGCCTGTGCAAATGTGATAAAAAAGTAGCATTTCAGAAATCAGAATATCATGGATGGCCATGAACGTATGATATCGTCTTGAGTTAAGGTGTCAACTAAAAAGCAATAATGACATAATTCTGTGGTTGGTCGTATTATTACTTAGTTTAGAGTTATTTTTGCGGAAATTTGTTGATTTTTCCAACATATATGCCACTGTTTAAAGTTTGGTTAGGCTGATGGAACAACAAAACAAAAATTTGTTTGTGTAGAATGTAGAATTGTACATTCAGCCTTGTGTTTGTCACTGTGTTATAGCATTTTACGTTTTTTTGTGATGTCATTACTTGATGACATCATTCAATTTTACAGTTTTCTTTTTTATGTTATGAATAGTGTGGGTCTCTTTTAAGTAACATTTTTATTGACTTGATCGACTTCCCGCTCAAAATTTTTTTTAGTTTCACCTAACACCCTTCTATTACCAGCGTCTCTTTTGTAATGCTTGTCCAAATTTCACTGAAATCTTTAAATTTTTTGCCCCCGACCTGTGATTGACACTGATATGCACAGATTTTGATATCTCTTGGAAAAATCCATCTGGTCATCCTTAGTTTAGGGGGTAGGGGCATATTTCATGTTTTCTTATTTTTGATTTGGAATATCATCCATGTTTCGAAAATCTGATATTATGGGAGTGTGGTTTGTTACTTTCAGTTTTGACCAATTTTATTTGAATGTCTTATTTCTTTGTTTTATGTTGAATATTTTCATGCCACGGCAATGCAACTCGAAAAATAGAAAACCCTGAAAAAAAGAAAATTGTAATTTTGATTTTATGTGTTTTTCGTGGAGATTTCGATTAAGTTTGGTCTTCTTCTGGACTGGATTTAAATATGATTCGGACTATTGATCGACTATAGATATTTTAAAATTCAGACTTCGTACACCTCTGGTTCGTAGGCAGGCTGTTACACAGAATTAGCCAAATGTGGTACCGGTACTTGATTTATTCTATGCTCAAATGAGACAGAGGGAGGTCATTACTAATATATTTTATTTTTATATCTTTTTTTAAAACTATGATATGACGGTGATGATAACTTTAAAATAACTCGCGTGATGTCTGTATCTTTAAATGTCCGTTACCTTGTGAAGTGGATCGAGCGCAATCTGTTTGGTAGAATATACGAAGTCGGTGAACGTTTGCTGTCAAAAGTATTAGTTCTCAAGTCTTAATATCACGAATCTATGAATGCGATAAAGTTTCATTATTTTAAATCTATGATGCGCAGGACGAAGTCTGGATCGTAAGGATGCGGTATCTATAGCTCAAATTCAGAGCCGGCTCCAGGCAACTGTAACCTATGTCATATGCGACCGACGTTGGTCCCGAACTAACCTGTGCGCCCTGTGTAGAATTATAGTGAAGATATGGCAGATTAGTGAGAAACAAACTAAGTGCATGGTGAGTAATTTTTTAAGGTTTAAATAATAGGTACTCCAAAACAAAAGTATGTGCACCAAGATGGCGGACACCGGAACGTCGTATGTGTACCACGTAAGGGTTAGGCCATAATTTTAGGTATAAATACTACGGGAGTCAATTGGACGTTATCTTTGGCATGGTAGATTAATAGATTTGCCGGTGTTTGTTATTTGTTTATAATAAGTAAGTGGATTTAGTCGCGCAGATATAGATTATACCAGTTGTTCTCAACCTTTTACCGACTGCATACTCCTTTAGTATTTTTTTTTATCTCAGCCTCGTACCACCGACAAAGCCCTCTTGGCATCACATCCATTATATTATATAATATAGCTATGTACAAAGTTTCAACGTATTAATTGTACGCAGTAACGACGTATTACTGCAAAATCGCTCGATAATTTGCGTCGTCTATTGTCAGAACTAAAAGACTTGACCATGACTGAATTATCGCGAACCTCGGGCGTATAATGTATCAAGGCGCTATTAAGGAAACTCGACACGGTCGACCTCTCCCGCGAATGCTTATTGCGTCGCCCATTTCGATGGCGGGTCAGGGCGATCGCGAAAAACAAGGATTGGTAGCGCGATAAAAGCCTTAAGCGAATAAAAGATAAAAGAAAGCACTGTTGGAATATTTCAGTCAACCCAAAAGTTAATTGTTGCAATAATTCAAAGCTTCTCGCGTGTCATTTGAGAACTTCCCTCAGGATGAGAACCACCGAAAAACCGGGCCCAGAATAGTTGCTCTTGTACGCCACCCGCTGACTAATTTATCAGGAACGCAATACCGATATGAAATAAAAACGAGGTGGACAATATTTAATTTTGATGACGTCATCGCACACACACAAAAAAACGAATCCAATAGAAATTTTTTAAATAAATAAAAGTAGTGGTACACTAGTCTAGAAAAAAAAACAATCTTCAACCACCGAAACTTGCATAGCAATTGGTCCGGTAGGTAATGAGAAAAGAGGGAAATGAGATTTTTTCACAAGAAGAAAAAAAGAATGACTAACAAGAAGAAGAACATAATAACAAAACGATCCACATGTACACTATTGTCTTCAATAAAAACGATGGCCAGCAAATTGGAATTTTGTGTGGCTTGTAATGCACGGCATGTTCAACAGCATAACTTTGTAAAATCATTTATATGGCGGCAATACCTTGGCGAGGCAACTGCCTAATGCGCGCAGTCTTCATCCACTTTGGTTGCGTTTCAGGAATACAGGGCGAGGTTGCAATACATATTCTGGTGACTTTTTTTTGCCCCGCCCTGCAATACATGTTCTTTACGTTGTGCGAAATGAAAACATGCAGTAATACATTTAACAAAATCACAGTTACCTTACAGGAACCGACCAATTGAATAAACGAAATGTTAATCGAATCATTGTGTGATCACAAACAAAAGCGAAGTCATTATTTCAAAACAAGGGAAATTATCCCGTGCAAATATACGCCGACGAGTTCATGGAGCTGTGCGGGGGACTGCTGCGGCAGCTTTCAGAAATTTAGTTTCGCTTTGTAAAATGTGGCCGTTTGTAACATGAAGTTTTCCTAGCAAGCGTTGACTCAAAATTGTATAAGTTTCTAGTCAACGGCATCTTTGGAGTAAGTAGGGAGTGCATACAACTTCTTCGCCAGCAGAAAACAACCCCTTCGTTTAGCCGAGGTATCGTGACCTTGTTTTCAGCAACGTGAAATAAAGAGAGCTGAAGGTCCGGTAAACCATTCGATAGAGGTTAAATGCGCAAAGCAGAAGTTTGAAAATTCATCTGTTCGTAGAAGACTACGTGGTTTTTGTACATCGTGTTCGACCCATATTCTCAATAAAATCTCAATTGTTCACGGGGCAATGGAAAAAAGACAATGGTGCAGAAATGCTTAATTAATAATCATGTCTAGTCAGAAAAATTACCGGAATCTGACAAATAAACAACCACGAGCAGACAAAGTAATTAATGTACCGGTAGAATTATCGTGGGAGGGAAGGGATTGAGATTCATTCACAAAAATAACCCTAACCCAAACCAACAATCTACATTCTACCAACCCCGTGTAACTCCGGAAATTTGGGCCCGGTGTTGAATTCCCGACACGCTTGACTTGGTGCAAACAGATTAATATTGCTTCGAAAATCTTCGTGCGACTTCCTGCGTTATTCTGTGTTCTGACGGCGCTGTCTCGCGTCGAGATTAAGTGAGTGACTTATAAATATTCAAGTTAGTTGTGTACAAGGAATATTACACGATATACTTGACTATAGAACTGATAGAATGCAGATTACAAAACAAAATAGAGGAACAATCAATTGGTGGGAAGACCCTAGGACCGGTTCAGCACTCGAAAGCACATTGACAGTACGATTTTAAATTCACTTTAAAGCTCCCATGAGTAGATGTAGTCTAGTAGAGAGCCGCTGCGATTGTTCAGCATAAAAAAGAGTAAGTTGTAAATGTTCCTATAGGTACCCAATACAGTAATGATTTGTCAAGAAATGTAAATTTTGATAAGAGATTTGTGTATTTTCGGATCATAAAAATGTTGCAGTGTGAGGATTTATGCTGGGTGATCAAAGCAGTAAGCAAGAATATAAATTGACTGATGGGTGATTGAAATTATGATGTCTGTATGAAAAACATAAATTAAACACACATATTTTAACTTCAATTAATCAGTGTTTTATGATGGAGTTCTACTGATCTTGATAATTTTTTCCCAAACTCATTCTGTCATTGTATACGAAGTCACCAGCTGCATATTACAACATGAGAGGTGATTTGAGTTTGCCATGATAATCCATTTTGCTTGATTTCAGGCTGGTACTACTACTAATGACCTTTTTCACATAAATTGGATACCTATTATTGCCATTATCTAAACATGGCTTCAACATATATATATATTTATAATTTTAGATGTGCCAAAAAGTTTTGAATTATTTTGTCGAGTATTTTTAAATTATTGATTTGTGATCAATAGCAATAACTTTTTTGCTACTGCAAAATCCACCACATTTATTGAATGCATTAATATTTCTCCTGAAACTGTTACATTTTAATAATTCCAATTTGTTTTGTGGGGTATTTACATTTTTGTTTCAAATAATACTTTGTCGAAGTGGCCGTTATACTTATATATAAACACATACATGCTTAGATGGTAGACATGGTTCAATCGTTGTGGGCAATTTATTTCAAAATATCGCAACTAAAATATAGATCTTTGCAGACGTCTCGAAAGTCACTTTTGAAGAATGATTTGCTGTCACCAGATGGGGTTTTGGCATGGAAACACATCTAGAGGGAATTTATGAAGATATGTCTAAAAAAACATTTGAAACAGCCATGTAAACTAACAGATCAACATGTTTAACTCAATAGCTTGATAAAAATGTCTGTTAAATATTAGCATAGGTATAGCACAAAGAATTGTTTTGGGCATTAATTCATTTGTATTTTCCTATTAGATCTATCTTCTATTGAGCATTTGAATACTTGGATCATGATTATTATTTCTAAAATTACCAACAGTATTCAGGTCATTAATACCAGATGAACAGGGGAAATTTTTCCTTGTAGGTTCTTCCTGCATCTGTTGCTAGGATTTCGGAGATGTCTGAATGGCTGTATATTCATTTATAAGGTTAAAAATAAGGACACACGTCAAAATAAAGATGTTTCTTAGAAATAAGGACCTTCAAAATAAGGACAAATTCTAAAAATAAGGACGTTGTGGCAGCCCTGATTATAGGTCAAGGGGAGAAAAACTTCTGTGAAAGCTACATTACTTGAGATGGATCGATACCAAAATGCTGTGCTACTAAGCGTTTTTTTTTATATAAAGTGCAAAGTATTCATTTTCGTCACCACTTTACCTACATCTGACTGAGATTTTTTGCAATGCATCGCATGTTGATGCCTTGCTTTCTTTCGACAAGGAAGTTGCCTCATCCTGGTCATTTGCAAGACAGTCTATGTCTTCATTTTCACAATTATTTGTTCATTTTTATCGAATTTCTTCGTCCTTCAGCAAATATTTTGATCAGTCATCAATGAACAGGGCTAGTTTTCGAGCTGTGATGCAGGAGCGTCGTCGTCGTTAAGCATCTAGTCTGAACAAAACCAATCGTGACGCCCGCCACTTGGAGGTGCAACATCGCCTTTGTTTGTTTATTATACGGCGAGCGGAGTTGGACATCTGGTAGTAGTATATATTTACTGTTGTACTACTACAGAATCGGTCATGAATGTTGTATAAGAGATATGGAATCAAGTTTTTGTTCATTTATAATGGACTCAATAAAATGATATTATATC